GCAAAATAAAGCCCCAATAGAGAGCTTTAAAATAAGCTACTAAACTTCCCAATCGGGTAAGTATTGGTGGAGATAATAGCGTTTTTGAGATCCCGGTGTGGAGACCCAATGACCAGCCTAATAGAGAGCAATTAGGAGCTAAAGGTTATTGTATTAATTAGCTATATAGAAGGTCTAAGGTATGTAGTCTACTTATAGTATCCGTACTATTCTCTACCTTTCTTCTTACCTAAACAAGGTAGGTATAACCTACCCCATAACATATTATATAATCTAGATCTATAAAATCTATTATTTCTAGTTAGTATTCTAAGTAGTTTCTTAACTAATATACTATTATCCTTAAGAGAAGATTCTTCCTACTATTGCTTGTAACAGTAGAGTGGCCCACTAACGAATCCAGCCCACTTACTAATCACCCACGTTATCCATTATACTATTCCCGTCCATTTTCGTGCGCAAATCGAGTTACCGCGTAAGGTTCGCAAACTTTATTACCGTGTAAGGTGCGCAAACTTTATTACTAAGGCGTAAAGGGATGTATTGGTTGCTTCGTCCGAAAAACTTCGGAAGGGTTCGAAAAATAGGCACGATACTACGTTGACCCTGGTGATAGACCCTTGAAAAGAAAAGGGCCGATATAAGCATACATCTGATCCGGTTTTGTACTCCAATATCCAACTTAGTGTACTGCTAATCCGTCATTGCCGGCAGTGTATAACTACTTGCGATAGCCCGATATCAAATGCACCAAACTCGTTTGATATCTCTAACTAGAGCCCTCATTTCTATAATAGCTACATCGAAAGATTAATTTGATTGTTCACTATGTCCGCATTCCGAGTTGCGTTGATCACCGGTGGTGGTATGTTATACGAAACTCTTATTGTATTCTTTACTGTCAACATGAGTTTACAATACAATACTAACTCACTTTCGTCATCTAGCATCTGGAATGGGACTTGCTGTCGCAGAAGGACTACTGGCACGAAAAGGATGGCATGTTTACCTACTCGATCGTAATGCTAAAGCATTTGAGAACCTCGACCCTGAAGTTAAGGCTGCGACTAATTTCCGCAATGTTCATGTTGCGGATTACGATAGTCTTGCTGCAGTATTTAAGGATATCTATATATCTAAAGGCCGGATTAACTTCGTGTTTGCCAACGCCGGTATAGGGGGTGCACTGGATTTTTATGAGACAAAGGATGGAATCGACCCACCTCCAAAACCAGATACCAGCGCCATAGACGTTAACTTGAATGGTGTCTGCTACACTACCTATCTGGCCGCCCATTATTTCAAGTTACAAAAGCTTGAAGACGCATCTGTTGTCATCACAGCGAGCGATGCGGCATTGTATCCTACTGTCTTCGCCCCGCTATATACAGCCGCAAAACGTATGTCCGTTTTCTTATCACTTCTTATCTTGATTGTTACCTAAGGAAATCTCCAATTCATACTAACCATTGCAAAATTTAGATGGTTTAATCGGCTTTTTGCGAGCAATCTCCCCCGTCATGATCACTCACAAGATCAGAGTCAATGTCATATGTCCTGGAGTTGTCCCAACACCAATCTTGCCGCCCGAGTTACTCAAAATATGGCCAGAGGAAATAAGAACGCCAGTCTCAACTGTGGTAAATGCAGTGCTCGCTCTTGTGGATGGGAGGGATATGACGGACGCAGTTGGTACGAAGGTTTCTGCAGACAAATTATACGGCCAGACCGTTGAGCTTAGCGTTGACAAGATGTATTTCCGATCTCAACCTGACTATTGTGATGAAGCCTGTAAACGGGCTGCGGCCGCTGTTAACAGCTTCACTGGAGCAACTTCACTATAAGTAAGTCAGAATCCTGTAGCATATCTACAACGAAAGGAGCTTCATGTACCATCAAGAGAACGAGTATTAGGTAGCAAATATACATCTTTACGAGAAATAAGTCTCAAAATCTATAGTAACACGATTTAAGATATGGGTATATCGTTGACAAGGTAAAAATAGCTTTATGCGTATCTAGAATGCTAGCTATATAATACAAAGCGTAGAATCATCGTAAGGATTGGTAAAATCTAGATATGTTAGTTTAGCTACTTCGACAGCAAAAGTACTTTGAAAGTGGCCTGTGCCTAGCTTAATCTACCTTTAAAAGTGCTTTATTTCAACTAATATGTAGACTAAAATAGCTAGAGTAAGCCTCACTTCGTAACACGATGAAATAGACTCATTTTCGTTAAAATACCCGTAAAGCTAGAAATAGCATATAAATATTTTAAGTTAACGTATTTCACCACCGAGTCGTCAACCCCACCGAGTCGTCAGCTCCACTGATACACCCCACCTTTATAATAATATTACGCAACACGATCACAATTTTTCTTGTTAAGTAGAATAAGATATTATTCTTTAGACGCGTCGCTATCCTCTATATCCTCTAATTCTACTTAGCACATGCGAGTGTTATATCTAATTAGCTATAACGTCTAGTTATAGTACTATTTATTATTATAGGAGCTGAAAACTCTAAACAAATGGAATGTATTAAGATAATGGACCGATCAATCTGCTAATCTAGATTAGTAGATCAGTGAGACTATATACTACTAATCTATGTCTAACTATTTCTAGTAATATATTATCTAAATTACCTAATCTATTATTTATACTATCTAATAAAGATTAGATAGTTAAAGGATTATATAGGTTATATAATATTAGAAAAAGTAGGTAGAAGTAGCTACTTATTCTAATAGAACTTAGTAGTAGAGATCTCTTTCTTCTACTTATTTCTAGTAGACTTAGAGGTAGCTAGTTAATAGATTCTGTTAGAGATCTAAGCTATTCAGCTGATCTCTGAGAGAACCAATCCATCAATCTCTAATCTATGTTGGGACGATACCAATCCCTGACCCAAGTCAACATTGCACCCTAATCTCAACAATCTAAATAATCTATCGATCCCTGACCTAATCTATCTATCTATTACGTTTAAGATTACTAAATCTATTACTAGATAGATTCTTCTAGAATCTATTAT